ATATTGTACGATAAGTATACTATATTTGCACATATCGTACTAAGACTATTTAGTTGTACAGGACGAACATATGTTTTTGAGCCAATCATACTATATCTGATCGTAATGTACGAACAAAAACGCCTAACTTGAATTTTATGGTTAATTTGAGCTTTTGTTTAAAACTCATCCCTAATTCATCTTGCACCTTTTTCCTCTAGGGTTAGTGTCTTTGCTTGAGGGAAACTCCAGGAAGTGTCTCTTCATGGGAAGGATTCGGGCGCTTTATTATACTGGGAAGGTGAAAAGGATTCAGCTACTTTGACACATCAAGAAGGTGAAAGGGATTCGACTACTCAGTCGTCCCAAGGAGGTGGAAGTGATTTGTAAGGATTTCTTCACTTTTCTGTGAGGACAAAAGGGGGGTCACTAGTGCTAGTGCAATAGTCATAGTAGAGAACTCCGGGGAGTGGATTAGGTCAATGTTAACGGAATCACTATAAAATTCTGGTGTATTTATTCTTATGTTTAACTTTACATTTTGCATTTCTATTTTCTTGTATTTTACTTGTTGCAAACATGTTATCTAAGAGTTCTTCATTTTACATAAATATAATACATTGTCTTTGCACCAAAAGAAAAATAAAAAATAAAAAATTGAAAAAAAAAATATTTTCTTCTTTGCAAGTGTTGTTTAAAATCATAATAAATTTTAGTTTAGATTGGTGTTATCAAATTGTTGTTAGATCAAAATCTTTTCAAAATAATAAATTTTTCCTCTAGGGTCAATGTCTTTGTTCGAGGGAAACTCCAGGAAGTGTCTCTTCATGGGAATGATTCGGGCGCTCCATTGTACTGGGAAGGTGAAAAGGATTCAGCTACTCCGGCACATCAAGAAGGTGAAAAGGATTCGGTTACTTTGACATACCAAGGAGGTGGAAGTGATTTGTAAGGATTTCTCCGCTTTTTTGTGAGGACAAAAGGGGGGGTCACTAGTTCTTGTGCAATAGTCAGAGTAGAGAACTCTGAGGAGTGGATTAGGTCAATGTTAACCGAATTACTATAAAATTTTGGTGTATTTGTTCTTATGTTTACGTTTACATTATCTTTATGTGCATTTGTAGTTCAAGTCAATATAACAACCCAAATTAAACTTTCAAAAGATAACCTAGGAAGAAAAAAGCCATTGGTCATTGCAAATAATGGCAGATAATTATTTTTTTTTGTGCCTAATTAAGGTGGAGCTTCACAGATATAACATGATTCATACAAAGATTTCTCCTTACACCACAAGTCCCAAAAGAGAGAGATGTTCTTGCAATTCAAGAGATAAAATGAGAGAGAGTTTTTTGCAATAATAGCCACCAGCGTAAGATGTTTCCAACATTTAGAGGCATGAAACCCCGGTTTCCACTAGGAGATGTATTTGACATGCCACCATTTTGCCGACGACAAATAAGCAAACATTTATAACTATAATTAAGAGCAGCAAGAGAGACGGCTTATCTTGACATATTGGTTGAGAGCTTAGGCTTCCAACTAAGAGGTTTTGGTTTCAAGTCTTTATGTATGCAATTGTGTGGGTGAGTTTGCCTTAAATGGCCTAAATGTCCCAAAAAAAGAGCAGCAAGGGAAGGAATACCCAACTCTTTAAGAGCACCTAATTTTGAACTCCCAATGGAAACATAAAAAAGGAGCATGGGCCATTGAATATGTTTATTTATTTCTTAGGCGATAGCTAAGTAGTTTCTTTGGAAGGGATAAGTGCTTAGCATAAGTGAGGAAGCAACCCTACTTATTATTAATAAAACGTCAATGGAAGGGTGGAATTATTGGCATCCGTCCATTATAAATACCTAATTAGGATGATGCTGTTTTTAGTTTATTTCTGTGTAGTTATTATATAATATTCATGTGGAGAATAAAGCTTGCCAAGCTCATGGAAGAAACATGCTATAATATTTTGGATTATTTCTGAGGGAAGCAATATCAAATTATTCAAGAGGGAACTTCTTTTATAAGGCAGCTATTCGTACTTAAACAAAGTCTTCATACTTCGTATTTTATACATAGTCAGGTTAGCATTTCGCTTGACCCCCTTCTACTAGGGCTATCAAAATCAGGTCATGAGTCGAACCCGAAACTGACTTGACGCTATTCCGGCCAACCTGAACCCAACCCATTTTTGTAAACGGATTATAAAATTCAATAAGGACCTGACTCGTCGGGTTTCCGAGTTGACCCAACCCGACATGGGTTATGGCTAAAGACGCCCGCGAAGCCGCAAATGGGAGAAAGGGCAGCCACTCGTCCATCGCCTCGTCAAAGTCGAAGAAGAGGAAGGAGGAAGGAACGTCTGACGTCGTCGAAGACTGCGTGGCTAGCGGCTTAGAAAAGAGAGCACCAGCGGCATAAGGTTACGATCTCGAACCAATTGCCGATGGTAGGACGGTGGGGCATCGTGACGGCGGGGCCGTGGGACGGTGGGAGAGGCAGATGACTCGCATATAACTTGAGAGGCAGACGACCGACGGCGGGAATAGGGACAACAGGAGTCAGGAGTTCTTGGGTTGAACATGGGTCAATCTCGGGTTTCCTGGTCAACTCGAACATATCCCAATTTTTGTAACTGGGTCTATTTGTTAAATCCAAACCCGTCCTGTTTAACAAACGGGTTGACCCTAATCCCAAATTTTCAGATCAGATTTTCATGTCATGTCCATAATTAACACCCCCTACCTTCTACTATTGCTTGGCCTCAATGCCATGGACAAGAATATTAATAATAAAAAAAAATATGCAATGGACAAGAATATATGCATATAGATAAAATGGTGCAAATTAATTAACAAGGAAATTATTTTATTATTAAATAGAGTTCTTACTTAGCGTATACTTAATGAATACTTCTTTTTTGTATATTTTTTATCATGTTTTTTGCATTTTGCACCTTTAAATTACTCTCAATGAAAATCCAACTACTATGCCATTATTGATGATCACCAGCCATCAATCTGAGTATAGATGATATGCATAAATGAATATTACTATTATGCAAGTTGTTATTTTATTTAATTTTCTTAAAATCAATATAATTTATAATTTAAATGCAACTCGCACAATTTATGATATAAAACTACTAATGGATGATGATGCGACCCACTATCAACTAAAAAACACCAAGGCATGATCTGGAAGCAATTATTAAAATAATAATAATTTATAAAGAAAATGTGCTCATTAATATAATCATTCTTTGTTTTATTTAGGCTTTATTGTTTCATAAAGCAACTTTTTAGAATTGTGGCGGGCTAGAAAATACGCGGCGATAGAGTTAGAAATTTTCGTCTCAACGTTGTACGGATATCCAGCACACAAACAGAAAATAAAAGAACAATAGAATTTCTACGTGGAAAACCATGGAAAAGGAAAAACAACGGGGCCACACCCAGTTGAAAGGATTCCACTGGTGTTTGCTTAAGTTACAAGTGGCTGACTCGTCTCTGAAATTGAGAACAATCAGATTACAACTCTCAGGTTGAAACTTGGTTATAAACGAATATCATAATTTTGACGACGTTGGGTGGTCGAGCAGAAATCTGAATTCATTCGGTTATTAGGCAGAACTTCGACGTTAGTCAGCTGTCGGGTAGAACTCCGACGTTAGTAGGCTGTCGAGAAGAACTCCAGCATCAGTCGACGGACGAACGGAATTTTGGCGTCAGTTAGGGATCGAACAGAACTCTAGCATCGATCGGCTGCCGTGTGTAAGTCAGACAGTGGTCGATGAGGAGTATCTTCCTTTTTCTTCTTGCTTACTTGCATAATTCCGACGTTAGTTGGCGATCATGCAGAACTCTGACGTCGATCGGCTACCAGGTGGAAGTCTGACAGGGGTCGAGAAGTCTCTTCCTTCTCTTCTTGCTTCCTTGATTTCTTCTATTCTCTTCTTTCTTGCCCGCGCCAACTGATTGAGGGTAAATTGGGATTGATCTGAATGGACGGCCGATGTTGAATCCCTTAATCGTGGATCATTTATTGAGCATTTGAAGACCCTAATGATATCAAAATTCGACGATCTTGGGCTTGTTGTATTCGTCCCTTCGAGCCGCGCGATTTGACAATAAGCATGTCATGTTTGAAAACCATTTGGTAATTCAAATTATAGTTTGAACCCTCCAAATGCTCTTCAGGTCCTTGATTTGGACTCATTTGAACTTGGATTGAGCTGAATTTGGTGTCGTTGGGTTCGTATTTCTGAGACATTCAGTTCGACTGTAAGTTTGCTGAGATTGGAGTTCATATGATCTCCAATTTAGTTTTTGAAGTTTTCAACTTGATTTTCGCCTCAAGATTCATACCTGATCAAGAAAATTCTTTGATATATAAAAATTACACTTTTTGTATTAAAAACTGATTCAAGAAGCAATAAAAAAGCCGTTTCAAAGGAAGCCTTAGTTAAGTCTTATAATGGATAACATTGTCATTTCTTGTTAAATTTCAATATTTTGATATTTTAACAAATTTTACCTCATTAAAATTTTGTTTGAAATAATTTTTTAATTATTTTACTTTTCAAATCATAATCATAAAAAATTTTAGCTAATAATTTTTCACTAATTAAAAAAAGATTAAATTTACAATAACTTTATATATATATATAATTTCCACAAGAATTGTATAACAACTTTTTACAAAAAAATTACATCAATCCCCAACAAATCCTAAGATTTACGAAAATTTCCTATTTACTATACAAATTTTTATCATTATTAGTTACATCACAATTGAATCTTTGCAAAGTTCAATAGAAATTAAGGCCGACATTTTTTTTTTTTTGGAAAAATTTGGGGCACAGCCCTTTCATATATCAAAAAAGATTACAAGTAATAAAAAAGCAGAACTATAACTCCAATTCTCAGTAAAAAGAGAAATGAAGTTCTAAAGAAAACAAAATTACATACTGAAAAAACAAAGAAAGACAGAATGGCTTAAGAGCCAAAAGGACTCAGGTAGTTATGTCAATTCACGAAATGGGTCAGATCACGAACGGGTCTAGGCAGAACAAATACCCCTGGTTGCCATAAGACCGTCCAAGGGGTTGCTAAAATCTTAGCAATCATCATTGTCCTATCAAAAAAACCACCCAGGCAACCTGTAAGAGGGACAAAATTTACAGTCACCACAAAAGAGAATGCAGCAAAACCATCAACAGTAGGATCCTTCCTCATGCTGCAAACAGCATCCAGCCCACCTCGTTTAATGATGTTACCAGCACAAAAAAATTATGATAATCTTGCCTCCAGTAATTCCTCCAAAAGATAGGTGCAGGTAATGTATAGCTTTCCCTTTCATCAACCTTATGTAAAAATTCCATAAGATAACCATCCCATGACTTGTAGTATTTCCGGTGTAAATCATTCAAACAGGCGATCATGAATAGCAGCAGCATATGAAAATAGTGGAACCTCAAAACCAGAGAAAAACTTAGTAACACAAATGCAGATTTTGCTTTACAAAACTTCCTTTTTTCCATTTGTTTAACTTCAGAAATACAGCCCGTATAACTTTCCGCTTTAAAGAGGTAACGCACAAAGCTTTGTCATTAAATTTTCTTGAATTACGTTCAATCCAGAGATAATAGACAGCAGCGTGAAGAGTAAGAAGAGCGGCGTTTCTAACATCTTTATCATTGTAGAGACCATGAATAAAGTGAAGAGCTTGAATAATATTAGGTCTCAAGTAGAAGTTACTAAATTGAGGAATGAGCATATTAATGAGCTGAAATGAGTAATCACACTCAAACAAAATGTGAGAGGTATTCTCCAGATGATTATGGCATAGAGGGAAAGAAGTGTCCTCAATAGTGATATTCCTGTATGCTAAAGCTGCAGCAGTTTTCAGTCCATTGTTTAAAGCTATCCACGTATAAGAGGAATACCTAATAGAATGGTATTTGTGCCAAACTAAATTATGCCAGTCCACATCAATATCCGAGAAGTATTCCTTATAAAAATCCTTAAAGGTGGCATTCTCATTGTTATCCCAGGTTATGTGGTAACAGCTGCTATGTGTTATAGGAATAGTGTAAATGAGGTTTTTAATAGTAGTACTAAGTGAAATTGGTAGAGCCCAAGCACCATCAATAATCCAGTTAGCTAAAATTCCGTTAACCCCATTATCAAGTGTAGCTGCTTGCCCAGTAAGCATAGAGGAAAGGTTATCATTTAAAACCCAATGATCCCAAAGGAAGTCAATAGGACTGTTTGGACAGACCTTAAAACAGAAATTCCTTTTGAACAAGTCGGCAGTGCTACATAAATTCTTCCAGTAACCCGAACTGGAGGATGGGCAAGGTTTCCAAGGTGAACAATATCTAGTTTTCAGCCAACTAGAAAGAGGGGACTGGGTGTTGTAAAGTCTGAGAATAGTTTTGCAGTTATAGGCAAACCTAAGAGCTTGAAGAGAGGCTATACCCAAAACCCCTTTAGTGATAGACTTAGTAGTGGAGCTCCAAGATATGAGCTCCAAGATATGAGCAACATCTTTTTGGACTGAGCATCTCCCTGATATAAGAACTTGGCACAAGCTTTATTAATGAATTTCAAAACAGATTTTGGTATGTTGGAACCCCGAATCCAATACGCCACCAAATTGGTAATTGTGTATTTTAAGTATTGCAACCTACCTGCAAAAGAAAGAAGCTTTGCTTTCCATCCAGAAAGCATGTTAGTAACTTTTTCGATCAAGGGGGAGAAATCAGAAATCTTGAGCCTACCTAAGGAAATAGGTAGACCCAAGTAAGAAATGTTGGTGGAGCAATTAGAAATTTGGAGGGCTTGTGAGAGAGAGGTAATGGAATTAACATTGGTGGGAAAAAGAAAATAACTCTTGTTGAGGTTAAGATGAAGGCCCGAAACAGAAGAGAAATGCTCCAAAATTCTTCCCAGATTTTCACAGTTTTTAGTGTCTGCCTTCCCAAATACCACGAGATCATCAATTGGAAACTATCCAATTTAAAACCTTCAAAGGAATCCACATGAGAAGTGTCGTCAATAAGACATGAGAGAGCATCCATAATGATACAAAAGAGGTACGGACTTAGAGGACAACCTTGTCTCAAACCAGATGAAGATTTGAAAAAGCCATGAAGACCACCATCAATACATATTGAAAAATGAGTATTATTAATACAAGCTTTTATCCAGTTGATGAAGGTGGGAGGGAACCCCTTATGGGCCATTCTAGCAAAAAGGAAATCCCTTGAAACAGTGTCAAATGCCTTCCGAATATCCAATTTGGCACAAAAAAATTTTCCCCTGTTCCTTTTGTTAACAAACCCAACAATTTCAGCCGCTAGAATACAATTTTCATTGGATACTCTATTGGAAATGAAAGCCGCCTGACTTTTATGTATGATATCATTCATGTAAGGTTTCATTCTATTGGCAAGTATCTTGGCAATAATTTTATGGAAAACGTTACACAAGGAAATAGGCCTGTAATCTTGTATGGAATCAGCATGTGTTTTCTTGGGAATAAGGGCTAATGTAGTGGCTTTAGCTCTGCTCGGAAGATAATTTTTTATGAAAAAGGACTTAACCGCATTGCAAACTGAAGGTCCAGTAATAGACCAAGTGGCTTTGTAGAAGGCAAAGTTAAAGCCATCAGGCCCTGGTGCAGAAGAGTTACAACCAGACTTAATAGCATTATGAATTTCAACATTGGTAACAAGAGAAGTAAGGGAAGAAGTAGCCTCATCCTGTAATGTGTTCCCATAAGGAATGTTGCTCAAATCAGCAGAAGGAGGTCTGGGAGAGTTGTAAAGAGCTTTGAAGTGGTTGATAATACCTTGTATGTTAGAAGCCTGAGGTGAATCATTGATGCAAACTGAGGAGTGAAGTATGCTTAGATTTTGAGATTTCCTCCTTTGAATCCTTGAGAAAAGGAATTTTAAGTCTTCTTCCCCATTTGTTAACCACTTGACTTTAGAACGTTGAATGATCCAATTAGCTCTCAACGAGTTATAAAAAGCATAATCCATGTTAATCTTTTTGAGTTGTCCACAAAGATTAGCATTGAGCGGGTCCAAATTAACTTGAAGCTGGAGTTGTTTTTGCTGGGAGGAGAGATCAGAGCACTTAGAGTCTAAGTGAGTAGAGTTAACCCATCTTTTGAGTTTGATTTCTTTCTTCAGTGAGTAGAGCTTGTGATAGAGTGAATTAATGGGGTTCCCATTTGAATGAGATGCAAATATCGAAATCAAAATGTCCCAAAATTCAGGGATTTTGCACCAGAAATTTTTGAACATAAATCTCTTACTAGTAGATCTCTCCATCTTAGATTGGAGAATGAGAGGAGTGTGATCGGAAACCAGACTATTGCATACATTGTAAAAAGAAGTTGGATGAGCAGAGATCCAAGATTCATTGACAAGCACCCGGTCCAGCTTGAGATGTATAGGATTGTCTGTCCTTTGGTTAAACCAAGTGTAGTAATTTCCGGTGGAAGGAAGATCCTCAAGATGTGCATCAAATATGAAAGAGTTAAAAGGAGCCAGCTTTGTAGAAATCATGACATTACCACCTGACTTTTCAGTAAGAAATCGACAACAATTAAAGTCCCCAAAAACTGCCCAAGGCAGTCCACTATTAGGTGAAAGAAGCTTTAACTCTTCCCAAAGTGTGTTACGTTCAACGTAATCATTAGAAGCATAGACAATAGAAATCAGAAATGGTGGCAAATTCCCTTCGCAAACCATACCAGTAATAACTTGCTTAGAAATGAAGGTGGGGGAGAAAGAGACCTTATTAGCGTTCCATTTAATCCATATCCGACCTGGAGAAGCAGTATGAAAATTGTGACAACTCAACTCATTGTCAAAAATCTTGTGAGTGGAACAAAACCATGGATCTTGGAGGTTATGATGGAGGATACGGTTTTCAAGTAGACAAAAAATGTCAATGTCGTGGTCCTGGACCACTTGCTTACAGCACAAAACTTTATCAGGGTTATTGAAACCCCTGATATTCCATACCACAATATTTGGATGGGTCATGAAAAACTATTTAGGTTTAGAACCTTTCTTGGCGCCCTTCCCCCTTGTGTTTCTAAGGGGTTGAAAATGAGAGGCATTATTAGGTTGTGAGGAGTTAGGCTTAGAATTAGAGGGAGGAGAAGAGGATTTTCCCTTGTCGTTTAGCAGTTGACAAGCGGAAGAGGCATTGTCTGACTCGATGATGGAAGCAGAATCAGAGTCCGAAAGATTTTGTAGTAAACAAAATTTATTGGGTGAAGACGTATTCAGAGAAGCTTGATTGACAAGGGTATTGGGGAAATCAGAGGAAGTAGAGGTTTGTTGGGTAGGGGAATTTAGATTCGGAATTATCACCGAATCTGTTTGTTTACAAGAAACATCCATAGTGATATGAATGGCAGCTTCCTGGATAGTCTCTGTGAGTTTGGTAGTAGCATTGATAAGGGAGTTGGGTTCTGGTTCTGTGGGGGCAGAGAGTTCGGGAGAGTGGGGCTGGAGCAAAGTGGCGGCTTCTTGATTATCAGGTATTTCAGGACGAGGCTCCGTAGAGGACCTGGGAGTAGGTAGGATTCCCTTTGGATTTTTGGATGGTGGTCTTGGACGTCGACTGGTACTCCTTCCTCGGGGGCCAACAGGTGGAAGAGTAGGTTTGGGATTGGGGTTTGAAGGGCAAGCATCGGTTAGATGGTTGAAAGATTTGCATAGATCGCAAACAGAGGGGCGCCATTCATATTGAATTTTTAGGTTGAAGAGTTTACCTTCCACCATAATAGGAATGAAAGCAGGATAAGTTGCGGAAGAACCGATCTGGACACACACTCTAGCATATGTGAGTCTCGATTTAGAAGCTGTGAGAGCATCGACAGCGAGTGGGATACCTATTTTGGTGGCGATCTTGGAAATACCTATCGGGGTCCAGCAGCAGAGCGATAAATCGTGGATTTTGAACCAAATAGGGACGCTGGAGTACTCTATTCTTTCAGGGCTGAAGTGGGAAGACCATTTTTTGAAAATAAATGGTCTACCAAAGATAAACCAAGCACCTTTTGTCCATACCATTTCATAATCCTCAGCACAAGAGAATTTAAAGAGGAAAAAACCTTCACTTAGCGATATCAGTTTGATAGTACCTTTGAGTTTCCAAAGATTTGTAACAGCTTTGAGCAGAGCTTCATAATACGGCCTTTTACCGAGAGAGTAACCAACCAAAGCAAGGTTGTATTCCTCTACAGCTTCAGCGATATCTTCGATTGGAAAATCAATGATTTCTTCAGGGGTTGGAAGAGCCGAGATATTGAACTCACTGGCTACCGGGGGATCCGAGAAGACTCTGTCCCAAGGAAGGGGGCAAGAGGTTCCAGGATTAGGAAGAGGAGAAGAAGAGGTGGGTAGGGGAGGAAAGGAGGTGGAGTAGACGGAGGGATCCATGGGATCCCCCCAACGAAGGCGGCGGAGGAACACAAAGTCGTGAGGCGCCGGGAGGAAAAAATCGCCAAACCCTAGCAGAGCTCTGCGTCTATTGTCTAGGCCGACGTTTTTTATTTGGGAGTTTATATGAAAAGACCGCAAAAGTACTGAACATGAATGGATCCATCGTAATTGCACATGCACTAGCACTCGGTGAATAAAATTTAATTAATTTCAAGTATTTAAGAAACTTATAAATCATTAAGAAATTATTGATATTTAATTTTATAATTTTTGAAATTTAAAATATAAATATAAATTTTGATTAATTGCTCCTATTCTAAAAGGATTGTTCTGATAAGATTAAAAAATAATAATTCATTGATAAATATAACTAGATAGTGCCAATGATCAGCCATTAAACAAATCCAACCAGACGAGTGCTTAGTAGATAGCACTCTAGTTGGATGAACTTTTATTACGTCCTCTGACCGGACGTAGGTCTATGTTCAGTCAAATGATTGTTACTCGATTTTTGCTCGGTATTTGGTTGGTATTGCTAGATATTGTTTGATAATAACAAGGAATATCACTCTGGGAAGACCAATAACGAGTAATACTAAGCAATACCGAGTAATACCAAAAAATACCAAGTTTTTTCTAGAACTCTGTATTTTTTGGTATTACTCCGTATTGCTCGGTATTGCTCGGTATTTTGTCTTCACATAATAATATTTCTCGTAATTATTGATATTGCTCGGTATTTCTCATTTTGTGCCTGCGATCTTAATGCCAGCCAAACATAACTCTACGTACATTCACCGGACCAAATAAAAGTTCCTAGTTTGATTGTTTCATTTCATATAGGAAGGTTGAGAGAGAACGGTAACAGCTATCTACAAAGCACTTTTAATGCTCCATTCTAAAAGCATCTTTTCAGGGAAAATTTCTCCAGAAATTGCGAGTCTATTTTACCCAAATGAGGTGATCTATTTTGCGAAATTTTTCAACCAAATGCGTCATTATTAGCTAAAATATATGATGTATTCTCACGCACGAACACTCTTATATAAAAATGCAAAGTTTTAGATAGCATTGTACTGATTTTTCCAATGTTGTTGACTAAAGTTTTGCTTTCAATGGGATCAATTTGTTCTTAAATGCCAATTTTCATTGTTAGGGGCTGTTTGGTAACAGGATTTAGGCCGGATTAGAGGCGGATTTGAGTGATATCCAGCCAAACGGCCTACAATGTAAAACCAAATCTCACGGCAAATGAAAGCTGCCGTAGACAGAAAATGTAAATCATGTTTTTTGCCGGATTTACGAAATCCATCGGCTCGAGAGTAAAAGTCCGTTCGTTAAATCCACTCTAAAGCTTATAGCCAAGCAGTCAAATCGGATTTAATAGAATTTATTATAAATGTTACCAAACAATTTTCAAGATTTAGACCTTTAAGGATTTCTGAAATTCGTATTTAAAGGATTTACGAAATTCTACTTAAATCAAACCATGGGTGCTACCAAACAACCCCTTAGAGTTTAGAAGAGCATGATAGTTGGAGCTTCTTCACAGATTCTTCAGCGCAGGAGTTATTCGTAGAAGGTCATATGCAAAAAGAGTTTATCCAAATAGGCAACTAATCTGCTTGGTCCCCAAAAGAGATAAATGAGCGGTGCTTCCTTATGCGTTTGTTTATAGGAACATAGGGGGGAGGGGGCGCACGTGGCCCCTAAGAAAAAAAAAAGAGTACACTATTAACTTTTGTGAGTGAGTGAGGGAGAGAATGTGCAAATTATATTCAAAATATTATAAAATAAAATATCATCAAAAGATCAAAAATGTGCATCTATATCTTTTATTTATGATATGTCATAAAAAATTTGCCTTGATCACAAATCTCAAGGCAAAATCAAGTATGAAACTTCCAAAATTAAATCGGAGATCATCCAAACTCTGATTTCAACAAACTTATAGGCAAACTGGATGTCTCAGAATTACAAAAGCAACGACACCAAATTCAATTCAATCCGAGCCCTAAATGGGTCCAAATCGAAGACCTGGAGCACATTTGAAAAGTTCAAACCATAAATTGGATGGCTAAACTATTTCCAAACTAACATACTTATAGTTTAATCGAGTAGCTCAACGAGACAAATCCAACGACTCCAAGATCACCAAATTTTGATATCATTAAAATATTCAAATGCCCAATAAATAGTCCACGATCAAGAGAATCAACATCGGCCGTCCATTCAAACAATTTCCAACTTATCATTGATCTACTTCCTATTTATCAGTCATATCACTCTCAAAATTTATAAATAGACCCATTATTTCTATAGAATGATGCTCAAACCAGGAAGTGAAGAAAGAGAATTAAGAGAGAGAAACTAGTGTTCTCTTGCCACCAGACTCCTCCTCGACTAGGATATAAGTGAATCAAAATTTGTATATGCTAACTTTCATGTTATTCTTTTGAAGATGTTTGTCAAATATCTTTCTAATAGCAAAGATGGTGTTTCTGGTTAGTAAAATGTGATCTTCATCGGGCAAGGCAATATAAATAAGAACCTCCAAAGGCTCATCATTTACAACTATTTTAATGTATTCTAACATTCCATATAAGATGACAAACAAAAGTATTTTAATTTAGACCCCCTGAATAAAATTTCTGGCTCCGTCAGTGCCTTCCATAGGAACAATTATTTGGATCGGTGAACGTACGCTCCTCTACGTTCGGCCACCAACCTTTTAGCGCCACGTAGCACGAAGAAAAGTCGCCGACCCGACCCGCTATTTTTTGGGTTCTAGCGCGTGCGTTTTTTTAATTCCTTGACGACCGATCAACATTCCATCACTTTTTGGATATATTTTAAATATCTAGCAAATACCGAGTTGTACCTAGTTTTTTTTCTCGCAAAATTACCGAAGTAAATAACCCATAGTCAAAGTACCTGGGATAGCTAGATCCCATTAGCAATACGTGATTGGAGCCAAATCCTGGTACATAAGTACCGAGTTTTTTTCTAGCAAATACGAGCAAATACCTAGCAATACCGAGCCAATATTCCTTAGCATACGAGAATTATATCACCTGAAATCCGGAGCAAATTCTGAGTTGTACGAGTTTTTTTCTAGCAATACCGAGCAAATACCTGCAATACCGAGCAAATCCGTAGTAATAGACCGAGCAATCCGAGCAAATACCCGAGTTGTACCGAGTTGTAGAAAATACGGTACAACTCGGATATTTGTATATTTTTTGTGTTCACAAGAGCGGTATTTTCTCATTTTGCAAAGCAATACGAAGCAATCCAGAAAATCGCGAACATAGCATTCCCGGGTTCCGCTCCGGGTCAAGTCATCGGGCCGCGCGGTAAAGAGTAAAAGCACGTGGCGACATGTTATTGGCGGCCGAACGTACCTTTACGTCAGGTCAGAGGACGTAATAATTGTTCCTTCCATAGAGCTTTTTTCCTTTCTTGTCTTTCCTTTCATTTGCCTTTTAGAAATGTTTGGCCACTCAATTGCATCCTAATCTAGTAACCTTTGATCGAGGACCTTCTATTAGCATGAATGGATCCTTGCATGGGCAAAGGCCCCATCTGCACACATTGAATATTATATACAATTCTCCTCAAATATGCTGAATTAAATGGAAAAGAAATTTATTAAAAATTATATACATAGTAGCATAAAGCCACTAATGATCGAAATAATTAAACACGACAATTTTATAAAACTAAGATAATTACAACAAAAGAACTATATAAAGTACACAGGATACACACACAATATAATATATATAGAGAGAGAGAAACACACAAAAAATATAAATAAAAAAAATCAAGTTCACTAAGAAAATTATACAAATTTTAATAAGCGTTCCTAAAAAGTAAAAAAACTAATTAAATAAAATAAAAAATATATGATGAGGTGGTAAAGAAATTCATAAAATAGACATAAAATGAATAAAAAAAGTTCAGTAAAAAAAGCATAAGTCAACTGTAAGTTACTGTATACTTAAATGAAGATCTGTACAATAATTCAAAGAAAAATCTTCAAAAAGAAAGAGTAATATGTAAACCAAATTATTCACCTAGAATAAACATGCATACTGATAGGAAATACTTGTAGATCTCAAGCAGTTCCTATCAACCTTTTGAAAACAACAAGAATTCTCTATCAAAATCCACACAAATCCACAAAAACAGTAAATAATTTGTATTATATGATGAAATGGAAAAGGAAAATAGCAAGATACAATTGATCCTCTATTCGAGAGGAGGATCGATCTCCCTCAAATCTATAGACGCCGCTAGAGCCCAAAGAAAAACCTAAATCTAGGAGATCTTAAATTTCAGCCAAATTCAAGATGCCCTAACCCTAGGAAAACAAAGTATTTTATGCATACAAATCAAAAGGAAATCCCTAAACAGTCCCTACATTCAAATTTCCCTCCCAAAATCATCAAAAATCCTTCATAAAATGCTCGTTTTGCTCATGCGGACTAAACGCCCACGAAAAGAGCTAGAGATCGTCCGCCTCGGTTGCGCTGGGCCGGTCCCAGGTGGACCGACTTAACCGGTCCAATGGACCGGTCTAACACATACACATAAAATGTATTCAAAGGAAAATGAAAAAAAATGCTTAAGGCAACTTAGTGTTTGTACTTATTGTAGCGGATCATTATGAAAGCAGATATTATAGTGGGTACACACAGTAGAGAGACATTGTGATCATGATCTTAATATTATGCTTCTCTTTTAATGGTCAGCATTCTGCACCATAAAGCATTACAGGTGATGAGGACATCCGACCATGGAGCGTTTACCTGAGACGAGGCCGACGACCTACGGCCACGATTACACCGCTTTACTTTTGAGTTATTATTTGTATTAGATTTATTGATTGTATTGAGTTTATTATTACATAATATTCATTTGTACCCTCACTTGAGGGAATAGTCCTATGTAAGCTCTAAGAGCATGTTGGTCTTTTATTTTCTTCATTGTAT